GGATTGATTTGGACAGGTAAATAATGATGTGTGCAATATTTATACATGCATGTTAAATTTATATATACAAAGTTAAAGCATCATAATGCACATTTGTGCAGGCAAATACAACCACCGCCTTAAAAAAGAAACTTTTCTTTCCAGCCCTTTTACATTCTACTAAGTTTTAGATCTTCCTTTTAGCATTAGTGCTAAAATAGAATAGCGGGTAAGACTTTTCACCTTGTATCTAAGAGGTGGTTGATTCCAAACCAAGCAAGAATGTTTTCTTTTTCATTATCATTTCCTTTTTAAAATTTACCTGCTTTTCCCTATCTAGCTTAAGGCTTTTAAAGAAAAATAAATAAGTGCAGAGTTCTAGCATTTCATCATTTTCCCAGTCACTTGAGGTAAAAGGGTTTCACATGAGAAACCTGTTTAACTCAAGTGATTGGAAAAATGATGAAATGTTGGAACTTTGCACATTTCTGAAAGGCCTCAGCTAGCTAAAGAAATCTAGGAGAAGAAAGAAATAGTATTTTTCTTTTTTAAAATGCAGGGTTTTGATATGAGGCAAAGCTCTTAGCTTCTATGCTATTTTAATATCAACAAATGGGAAGTCTTGGAAACTCATCTACTAGGACATTGTTTCTTAAACCTTTTTCTCTCAGGATCCTTTCCACTTTTAAAAATTATGGAGGGCTCCAAAAAAGCTTTTGTTTGTGTGGGTTGTATTTATAAATATTTACCATATTAAAAATTAAAATTGACATATTTGCTGCTGCACCGCTTCTCACAATTGTTTGATGGGATTTTAATACTGAATTATTTGTCAGCATAGGCTGGCAAATAATTTTGATTTCACAGACCCCTGAGAAGGATCTTGGGGGACCCCCAGGAGACCACACTTTAAGAAACACTGTACTAGGACAACTATTACCTCAATTAAGGGGGTGCTCCTTCCCCTGCAAAGATTCATGGCTTACAAGGCTAGTTAGTCACAAAATAAACTGCTAGGCCAAACCAACAAGAACACTTCAGGTGATATAAGAGGAAAAGTCTGCTTTCAACCTGCAACAGGAGAGCATGCAGGGAGGTTGAATTTCTGATGGAAGGGAGGTGAGTAAAGGCAGATGCCCATTTTAGGGATGGGGTAACTAGGAGCCCAGATAAGCCAAAGAGCTGACAGGCAACTTTAAAGCCATTGCTTTCCCTTTCAGTGGAAATTTATCCTTATGCCAGAATCAAACTGGTTAACCCTACAAACAAAAGCAATGTTGAATTAGAAGACCGACCTCTGTAAATTAGGAAAAGTAGCCTCTCTAGAGTAAAACTGTGGTGTGTCAGGAAATATGATTGACTAGAATGAATGGGAGAGGAACCTGGCCATTTCTTTATGCAAGTCTTCTTTGGAAATATCCTCAGTGCATTGAAACATTGTGTTATGGAAATAAAAAGTGCTATGAGATAGAAATACGGAAAACCATCTTTGTTTCTTCATAGTTTGGCCATATGCCTTTTTCATTCTTTATTGCTCTTTCAATTCTCTTCTTTTTTAAAATTCCACTCTGCTCCAAGTCTGCTCAGTTCCTCAGTTCCATATATATATATTATTTATATATATATAAATTAAAAAAAATAATGGAGAGGACTTTTGGCCCCCACCCTCACAAGGACTTATGGGAGGTACTACTGGTTTAATTTTATGAAAATCTAAAGAACTATCAGCTAAAACCGAAAGCAGGGAAGAGAGATCTTAGCCCTCCAAATCTGCAGCATAATCAGGGGTTATGACAGCTGTAGAATCATCATCATCATCATCATCATCATCATCACCATCATCTATTACTAGGAATAATATTATACTATTATTTGGAGTCTAGGAATTTACCCTGACCCAAGCTCACAATCCTTATGTACAAATATCTTCTCTCCTGGTCTCCATACCACAGCTTTCTTCAGCTCAGCACTATAACTGGCAGAAAAGAATAATTTTAATACTATATTCAAGAAACTATTGGGAATTATAAATCCTTATATCAATAGATTGCCATCTAGTTTCGGTGTGTTCCTGAATCTCCCTGACTAAATGCTACCACCCCCACCCCTCATAAACGGGATTGTACCTACAATAGGATGCTTCCAATTTAAAAGAACAGTAACTGGCTATTGTGATAAGATGAAACATGGCAGATATACACACAGAAGAGGTGCAGTTGAATATAAACCACATTATGAGGAACCCAGTTATTTATGTGCTATTCTTATACATCTACAGTATATACCCATATCAAATGTTTTAAAGATGGAGAAGTTATATTACAGGAGTATTTGATCACTTATCTTATTCCTTTAGTTTTCTAGAGAAGTTTAAGTGACTGCAGTGTGTTCCCTGAACCTATTAAATAATTCTCAAGTGCAGGGGCTATACATTGCTATTAATTTGACTGGAATGAACTTCATCAGGACATTCTCTGAGGCACTGTATAACATAATTGCCTTTAATCACTTACTATTCCCACAGTTGTTTCCCAGCAAGGTCCTCGAGGCACATCAGCCGGATCCATTGGAGGTGGAATAAGAGCACTTCCATTCCCTGCAGATGAGTTATGGAAGGTTAGAACTGTCCAGTGTGTGATGTTCCTGATCACACCTTCTTCACCCAGCTGCAACAGAAAAAAGATTCTTATTCTTGTATTACAAGAATCTTAGTTAAGTTTTTTTAAATTGCATGCTAAGGCCTTATCATGATTCCACATAACAGTAATGAAAACATAAATTGTTTTGGGGTCGCCTGGAACTCAACCAAATGTCATCATCGGAGGAAAATGGCTGATTCTGGCATGATCAGGAGTGAATATTAACATCTTCAGCACAAACAATGAATGGCCATCACAACAACTGTATGTGGTAGATGGATTATCATGTCTTGTAGATAGTGATTCTAGACAAAAAATGATATGGTCAACCTATAAAATTTGACCCAAATGTATGAGACATTGTTACTCATACAAAGGTTTCATAGCAGATGTGCCTAGCCCAAGCAGCCCCTATCTGCAAGGACCTCCCTTGAAAATCGATGGTTAAGATATCAATAAAAACTACTTCTTTGCTTCTCATTTAAGTGTGACTATAATGTTTGAATGTCTCAAACTAAGTAGGTATCTTCTTGTATAGCACAAAGCATTCTAAATTCTCTCTTGTTTGTTAAGTGTGTAGAAGAGAGTGAGAGAACCATTTAGGGCATATTCTATGCAATTAATACCTGTTGTCCATTGAGTGGTACACTGTCCAGAGGGTTTCCCATCCCTGGGTTAATACATCTTATTTTGCAGAATAAGCCTCATGGAATGTATACTCTATGTCGTATGTTCTGAGGATACGTCAGGCTAGATGAGTCATTCCAAAAATATGGACTGACCAATAATGGAATGAAAAGCAGTCAGCTTTCCTACAATAGAATCTGGGTACTGGTAATGTGGCTGATTCTAGGCATGATGCTGGATGTTATGTAACTAAATTGCACAAACAAGTGTTAAGTTTCTGGTTTCTTAATTAATTTCTTATTAATCTCCTATTATAGGAGATCTACTTCAATAAATGTTTAGGGAAGTGATTAGTTTTCTATTGATTGATTGATTGATTATGTGCCATCAAGTTGTTTTTGACTCCTAGCAACCACGTAGATAGATTTCCTCCGTGACAATCTATCCGTAACCTGTTCTTTCAAGTCTCCTAGTTGTGCACTCATTGCCACCATAACTGAGTCCATCCACCTTGCTGCTGGTCATCCTCTTCTTCTGTTTCCTTCCACCTTCCCCAGTATTAGAGCCTTTTCCAGAAAGCTGGGTCTTTGCATAATGTGTCTGAAGTAGGATAGTTTGAGCCTGATCATTTGTGCCTCAAGTGAGAACTCTGGGTTGATTTGTTCGATGATGTTTAGGGCAGTGATTAGTTTTCTATAGCTCTCCATAAAATCTGACAAACAATTGTTAACTTCAAATCTTCAGACTTCTCCATTTTATTTATTTATTTAGGTTTAGATGATACCCAAATCCAGACATCTCTGGGTGGCTTACAGTTAAAATGGGGGGGGGACCCTAACAAGGGGGGAAAAAGCCCCTCACTAGACTAGAACAGAAGTGAACAAACCATGGTTTGCTCAGGCCCATTATATAGCTCAAGAACTCTTCAAGTTTGCACCACTGCAATTTAATGGTAAAATAACAGTTTTCAGCTGAAGTCCCCAAACGGATAGGTTTCACCCATTTTTTTGTTGTTGTTAGATTTAAAACCATGAACCTTATCCTCTCAATAGATGCAAACTTGGCCCTATATACCAGGGCAGCTATTATTACTTCCTGGCTGAAAAAAAAAAGCCCATCCATAATCAACCAACTGTATTAGCAACCAAGAAGCTGCCTTCTCCCCATCAATTTATTTAACATACAATTCTGGGTTCAAAAGTAGTAAGCCATGGTCTGTTTTAACTATCTTGTCTAACAAGTCAAAGTGGCCTGGTTCAAACATCACAATAAGTGAAATACAAATGACATGTTTTAGTGCAATGTGTGAACCTAGCTTATGCTAAATAGGGAAATATAAAGGGGCTTCTATTTGAATCTGATGGACAGACTGGTTAACACTGGCAGGGCAAGCTGGGAGTGGAGAAATCTCAAAATATAATACTTTTATTAGAAGGTTTATTTATTTCTCAATCACATCATGAACATCAAACATTTCCTTTATGTTCTAAAAACTGCTTTGTTTCTGGCTCAGCCCAACCAAAATCCTGCACAATTTATGCAATGCATCCAGATAGAATATTAGCTACTGAATCTCATATTTTTTCTCCTATTAAAGCAGTTTAAAAGGCAAAAGCTAACAAATGAGTCACAGAAATATGGGGCAAGGCTGATTACATACATACTAGTGCATGTACTTCGACATTCCTCACCTTTTCCTTGACATCATCCATTAAGGCCAGCAAGAAAGTGTATAGATTCCCCAGGAAAAGCGCAAAGATACGTCCCAGTTGCCATTTCAGTCCAATGCGAGGATGGTATTCCTCTAAGGCTGCGATAGTTTCAAACAGCGGAGGGCAAAACATTCCAAGTAACGACATAACAATTTCAACCTGCAAAAGCAGGAAAAGAGCACTTTTGTCAGGATGGGGAGAGCTAAGCACACCCCTGCTGCTGACTGAGGATCTTGGAAACTTTTCACTTAAAGAGGACTATCACAGGGCTAGCAGGGAGCAAAGATTAAATAAAGGATGGGAGGTCTGCAGGGTATGGTCAAAAAAATCGGGATGATGGCCAAAGTGGTATGATCGAAGCTCTGCCTGTAGTATTAGGAACTTCGATCACACCATTGCAGCCATCACCTTGACTTTCTTGACCAGACCCTGCAGACACCCCTGTGGAAAAGTGAAAGTGGGCTCTATTGTTGCCTCCATCAGCTGTCCTGCAACATGTGCTCCCAAATTCTGTCCTTGCTGAAAAAATGAAGACCAGAACGAGAATGAGCTTAATATTGTCTTATTAAAACAATAAGAGCTTCACTTTCATTGCCCCATCCCATAAAAAACAGTATGAACAGCTGCTTAAATTCCAAAATTTACAATCTACAATGTACAAAATCTACAAAATTAAAGAAGTTTTACTGCTTTCCTAAGTGATAGCAAAATAGGTGCAATCAGAACATCTGGAGCAAACTATTCCAAGGGGTGCTATAATCACTCTGGGACCCCGCATCTCTCTTAGAGGGTGGATCCTGAAGCGTCCCCTCCTAGATCACATGCACAGACAGGCAGATTCAATTGGAAGGAGATGATCCTGAAGGTACTTGTAAAAGCTAAAAGTAATAGAAGTACAATGCAGGAAAAGATGACTTTGGTAAGTCTGAAGCAGGCAGCAGAAGCAATGTTTGTTAATGCCAGTACTATATAAATGTTTAAAAACATTGTTGTCTTACTTCATTTCTTTCATACCAGCCAATGTTTTGCATTTTTGAAAAGGTCTGGGACCGTTTTACAACAAAATAAATGAGGTAGCCACTTCCGCATAAACAACATATAATAAGGACGTTGGCCAGAACCCTCAAAAATCTTCTTAGATGGATATTTTCATCTTTGTTGCTTTCTTGCTCATCCACAATTGATTCCTTAGATGTAAGAAACAATGGGAATAATTATTCAGAATGTAGCCCTATGCAAATATTATAGGAAGTAAGTCACACTATGTTCAGGCTTACAAATTTTCAGGATGTGTATGTAGGATTGCAGCTCATTGCATATGAAGAAAACACACATTCATTTGCAAAACGAATACAATTGTGATTTCTCAACAAAGAATGCTCTATTTCATAGGCTATATAAGGAATAAAAATGTAATATATTATGTATCAACTGGATGATAATACTTTTTATAATTATTTGAAAAATATAGCTAGCCTTTGTAATATGTTGCTGCTTTCTTGTTTCATGCTTATAATGCAGATGAATATTGTCATTTGTAGTGATATACAAAAGCAAACTTCAATTATTTTGATTATAAATGAACAAAGTAAAATGAAGATTGCTGGATCTGGTACTTATACTCACTTATATGTATGAAAGGGATGATAAGGATGAACTTAGTGTAATTGTTTTCTCCTAAGATCCAAACTACTCGGTTTCTAGGTTTTATTGATTTTACAAGGATGCTGTTCCACAGGGAAGGTGCTGTCACTGAGAAGGCATGATTCCAAAGTCCAACAAGGTGACATTACTTAATAGAAGGGACCTGGAGCATGCCCTCTCTACTAAATCTGGTGGGGTGGGCAGAAACAATAGGAGAAAGGTGGTCCTGAAAGTAGCCTGGCCCTATGCCATGGAGGTCTTTATAGGTGATGATCAGCACATTGACTCAGAAGCCTACTTGGGAGCTAGCGCAGCTAGCAAAGCAGCAGTGTTACATGGGCATAACAAGAAAAGCCAAAAAATGCCCAAGCTGCTGCATTCTGGACCAGCAGTAGCTTCTGAATGCTCTTCAATGGCAGCCCCCTGTAGAACATGTTACAGTAATCCATACTGGAGGTGACTAAAGCAGGAGTGACCATGAGCAAGGCCTCCTGGTCCAGGAATGGGTACAACTGGTACACAAGGGGAATCTATGCAAAAGCCACCCTTCACCACAGCTGTCACCTGCTCTTTGAGCAGGAACCAAGAGTCCAGGAAGACCCCCAAATTGTGTACCAACTCTGACTTGGGAAGTGCACCTCCATGCAAAGTTAAAGATGGAAAATCCCTGGAACCAGGAGCCTTAAAACGCACAGCAACTTCATTATAGTATAGGCTGTCTGTGTTTGATGTGATTATTGAACTGAAAAATTCTGAACTTTTTTTTTAAAAAAACAAGCAACATGAGATGCTTGTAATGTGTCACATGGGACCTCAACATTGACTATACAGAGCTATACTCTGTATAGTATACTATACATATTGTGGATATAATACTATATATATTGTCAACCAAATCTCCCAGTGAAGAAACTGATCACCCAAACAGCTACAATATTAAGAAAAACCTGTGAGTCTTTTGATAAAATGCTGGATAGGAGGATTCACTTGTTATGTACAATGTGTATATTTTCCCCCTTGACATTTTGCCAAAGGTATAATGCAACAGAGATGTTTGCATCTTGCCTGGAGGCTACCTTGAAGCTAGTTGTGATGGATGCAAACTTGTTGTCTGCTGTCTCTGGATTGCCTATAAGGTAGTCCCAGCTAGTGAACATTTTCCAGCTAAAAATGAAGTTCTCATCATCTCCATCGCCTGTGTCTTCATGGGCATTCCGGGCCATCCTGCAGATGAAATAATATGTATACTGTTTAGCCACCAGATGTCTCTCTTATGTACACACAGATTTCTTGCTGCAGCTTCTGTGCTGTCTCTAAAATAAGCATCGCATTCTAGAACTGCTAAGAGAAACAGTGGTGTTGCATAGGCACTCCCAGTGCAAATCTCTTTATATGCATGTCTTTAAATACCTGCTTTAAACATCTGGGAAAGATGATTGTGAAACAAAACATTTATTACTAAGCAGAAATGTGTAGAGTGGTGTCAAAGAAGGGAATAAAAATAGATTTTAGATCAGGTATGTGTCTATATTGTTGTTACTATTAAAAATAATAATCATGAATCATGAAATGGTACAGAGAAAGAGCAAAAAAGCCCAATAAAATCCCTGCTTAACAAACTGTGCACAAGTTTGGCACAATTGGCTTTTGAAGGGAAACTCACTTTATCAAACGATTGCAGACAAATTCCATACCCACTTAGGTGATCACGTTGTGAAATAGAAGACAAAGCATTATCTGATGTATTTATTATACATGACTCTATTGAATCTACTGCTTTGGGCTGCCTCCAGATATGGAAATTACCTTATTTAAATGCTACTGTTAAAACTCCATAAATTAGTATGTCCACTTTAAAATCTTCATCATGAATTAGGGACACAGTAAATAAATACATTTTAAAAAGTACTTCACTCAGGCTATTCTGGCAGACCTTGGAATAAATGCCATACTAACATACTATGAACTCTCAGATTAAGCTGGCATTCTCTAATTTCTTGGATTTTATGATTAAAATAGAATAAATGGGCAGTTTCAGGTTTGGTGCATGTGCACTATATCTTTTGGGATAGTGAAATAAAGTTATTGATGGCAAAGGAAGGTCAATATCCTGGAGGTGTGCAACTTTGTCTGTTTCCTTTTTTTCAGCTTGAAAGAGATATGGTTGCTATAGTAGTTCAAGGGAAGAATATATAATGTAGAGCTATATAAAAAACAAGTAGAACTTACGATCTTATTACAACCATCAGGCTATAGCCATACACACCGATGACACCAACCATGAAATATGCCATTGGTAGCCTGTACTTTAACCAACCAATTGTCCTTTGATTGTTGTAGTAGCCATAGAAAATGGCTGAATATTTAATATAGCCCTGAAAGGAGGAAGAGAATAGATCAGATGCCCATTGCTATACATTTAAAATCTAAGTGTATTCCATAATGAGTGGTAGATACAAAGCTAATCGGGGACAACCTGGACTGATTCTAAAACCCTGGTTCTTGAAGTCGGTCTAGTACATTCTATATGTGTATCATTTTAGCATAATCAATGTATTTATTTGAAAATCCCTAAATTCAATATGCTTTACTTTCTAGTATTTGGATTTGGGATTATTAGAGGTAGATTCAGGGCCATTTTAATTGCAACTTTCAAATAATCAGTAGGCATTAGATGTCAGATAACATGTTTTCCAAGAAATAGTTTTCCCAAATTCTGTTGTCAAAGCTATGTCATGAAAGCGCTGTCTCTGCTTTTCAGAACAATATGGGAAGAGCCTGTCTCCTTCAATATTCCAATCCTTCTGCACCCTCTTCCATGCTCACAATCATTTTAGTGTATTTTCCATTGCAGTGTTGATCTGCTGTTCTTGCACTATCATGCAGCAAATGCAAAAATAAAAAATACAATAAAAGCATCCTCATTTTTATTAAGCTAAGACTCAGAATCTATTGTATGTATTATTGGGAGAGTTGAAAGCAAAAGGCATGATAGGAAAGTCAAACACAAAAGAGTTCTTTTTTGGTATTCATTAAAAAGATTATTATCGGCTTGGGGGTCTTACCATGTCTTACCCTTTATTTCTCGGGCTTTTTCCAGTGCAAACATAAAAACAAAATTATAGCCTCCAGAACATTCTGTCAAAATGAGTGACTTCAGCTAAAATGAAACCTGTTCTTTTCCTCTGTCATCTTGTTATGTAACCCATTTACTGGAAAAATATTATCTGAGTTGAAGTCTATCTCATCCAAGCTTTCTGAAGCTAGGCATGCTGGGATCAACATTACTGACTATTCATCTTTTTCATTCTTAAATCTAACCTTAGTAGGATATATACTGTATGAAATATATTGTACTACCTTTAATACATCTGCAGATAGGCTAACTCTGTGAACCTGCATGGGGATACCATGGGATAGGGATCACTATTAAATGTTAATATTTAATCTATTTAGTCTCATGATTTCTATAAGCAATTCTTAGGACTGGATTCACACCTATGTGTTCATCAGTTCTGAGGCATTTAATTCACCACTTGATGTATATCACAACAATGAATGACTCATTTCTTCACAACTGAGTGACATAGGTCTAGTCTATCTGCCTTAGGCAGATGATTTTGTGTACATTTAAAAGCCTATTTGTCTTTTTATTGTCAGAAAGAGAAAAGGATGGCTGTGTGATGTTCTTCTTCAGGAGCTTCCAGACTAAAGACTTATTTGCCTGGTTGGTTGTCCCTATCACCAGAATGGGAAAGCAACCAGTTTTTGAGGGCAGAAATGGATGAGGTCAGCCTTTATTCACTGCCCTCCCATTACAAATTTGACTTCCTGGTGTGTTTTCCTGTGCAGTTTGAAAATAGTCTTTTTCCTCTATGTCACATTGAGTGCTGTTGTTAGTTTTGGCTGGAGCACTTTATTTCTTTATAGGTAAACCAGCAGATCATTAGCTACTTTACAGAGGAAAGGCACCTCTTCAATGGAATCAGTGCTTATCATTATTTCTAATATATTTTAACCTCCCTTTTACTGTGACTGCTGTAATAGCACAGTTAGTACAACTCCTGCTTTGTAAATCAAAAATTGCTGGTTTAAAACTCACCAGGAACATTTCTTTAATTTTTTTTTCTTTCCAAGCTTCCTACAACTTCTCCCTGTGCTTTTTAAAAAAAATAAGTGCAGTTTCACTGTTTCACATTTTTTTCTAGTCACTGAACCTTCTATCTCACTGCTCTATACTTTGTCGTCTTGTTATGTAACCCATTTGTTGGAAAAAATATTATCTGAGTTGAAGTCTATCAATACTCTATTTATTTCCACATCAAAGAAATTCCAAATCACATGATCCAAATTCACAGAAGCAGTAATTGTATCATACATTTATTGAAGAAGCAACATAATCTGCTTTTCTGTTCCAAACAACATTCCTCTAACAAAGGAGAATGAAAACTGAGCCTGGCTTTATGTCATTGTCCATTTCTATGGTACTTTGATTTCTTATTTTATACATATAGTTCATGTAGATACAATATATTATGTAACAATACTGGTTTCAGTAGGAGACCAACAATAGAAATTTAATTTGTTATGCTTAAATTTAATCTTTTTTGCTTGGCCCATTCCCTTTGTGAGAAAAGACTGAAGAACTAAGATTAAACAAAAATGCAAGAAGTACCTACCTCAAAATCCCAAAGAACAGAGAAATCCATAGCACTGGGTTGTTCAGCCCTGGGTACAATTTTTCTAGGTATACTTCCATATGGCACACCCATTAAAACCTACAACAAAATTATTTTTAATGCTATGTGAAGCACTTCAAATATATCTGATTTCTCACCCATTAATAACAGAATAAAACTTAAAGTGGTGAAAAGCAGAAGTGGTGAAAAGGATTGGAAAATATTCATTTATATTCCAGTAACAAAAAAGGGCATTGCTAAAGAATGCTCAAACAACCATACAATTGCACTTATATCACATGCAAGTAAGAATTTGTAATATAGACCTCAACTGCCAGATGGACAAGCTGGATTCAGAAGAGGCAGAGGCATCTGCGATCATACTGCTAACCATCCAGTTGATAACGGAAAAAGCTCAGGAGTTGCAAAAACACATCTACTGTTGCCTTATTGATTATTCAGATGATTCTACTTTTAACTATGTAGATCACAACAAAGTACATTCTACTTAAGTGCATAGGTGTATTTGAGCTGTTTCATCTTCTGTTGAAGAATTTGCATGATGACCCAGGGAGCAACAGTTAGATTGGAATATGGAATAACTGAATGGTTAAAAATTGGAAAAAGTGAATGCCAAGATTGTATACTATCATCTTATTTAAACTATATGCAAAATATATTGTGAAAAATGCTAGATTAGTAGAAATTGGAATTAAAATTGACAGGGAAAAATATCAACCTCAGATATGCTGATGATACCACTTTGATGACTAGAAGTAAGAAAAACTTAAGGAATCTCTTGCTAGAAGTGAAGGAAGAGAGTACAAAAACTGGTCTGCTGTTCCACAATAAACTAAACTGTTTCCAATTATAACAGATGGGTGTGAACGTTGGGCCATTAGAACAGGCTAATGAAGAAAAATTGATGTCTTTGAATTGTGGTGATGAAAAAAAATGTTGAGAATATCTTGAATTGCAAGAAAAACAAAGGATTCAATACTAAATCAAATAAAACCAATCTGCTTATAATAATAAAGCTAAAGCTCAGATATGTTGGATACATAATGAAAAGTCAAGAGTCATTGGAGAAGACCCTGATGCTGGGAAAAATTAAAGGCAATAAAAAAGAGGTTGACAGAAGATACTACCAGTGATGACACAAACATGAGCTTACAAAAACTCAAAGAAGCAGTTATGAACAGACAATTATGGTGCAATAATGACTATTCACAGAGGAAACTGAACAACAGAGAATACAGCAACTTGCTTACCTCCTGGTAAAATGTGAAACTGTGGAACAACTGGGATGAATTATGTGAAAGAGGTGAATTAAAAAGCAAATATATCTTAATCTACACGGGAATGTATTTGTATTGAATTCTAGTTCTATTGGCTTTAATAAATGTTTCCTAAAATACACATCTATTGAACTCCTTTATGGCTGATCCTTTGATGATTAAGATTTGAAATAAGATAGCTTTAGGACTGGGTGTGCTTGTTGCTACCCAGTTTTTCCATCTTTGTTTCTTCTTTTATTGCTGTTGTTTTACTGTTTTATAGTTTTCATGTTTTTTTGTGATCTGCCTGGAGTCATTGAGTTGGGCAGTGTACAAACTGAATAAGATACTAAAAACAAATAAATAATTACTTGACTCTAGAGCAATTGAGAAGAAAATTATGACCTGCATTCTGAGAAATTCTAAAAATCCTTTCTGTTTTAAGGACTTAGTTTGTAAATAATCAAATTATATCTGAAACATAATATTAGCAAAAGTGTTGTTATATTAGATATGGTAGATGGTCCAAAAGGAATAAAATTAGGAAGGACAACAATTGGAAGCTAAATTTTTAAAAGAAATAGAATTCTTGCCCACCTATTAGAATAGGTAATACTGAATGATTATACTTTTTTAAAAATCTGTTTTTCTCCCTTTACAGTATACTCTCATTATAGATTGTTATACTGATATACTTTCTTACATGGTTTCTGTCTGTCCTGTTTTTCATTATTAGAAATCAAATACTGATAGTAAGAATGTTCACAAATATCCACAGGTTTAAACTGCCCCAATTTCACTTTAAGGAGCATATTTCATAAGCAGCAATGTGGATTTCTTTTATTTTGGGCAGATGGAAAAGCTCTTGTTGCCGTAAACTTCATGGGTTATTTCCTTTTGAATGCACTAAAAGCATTGTGTTTATTTCTCTATGTGGTATTCAAACCTCTGTGAAAAATGAAGATCAAGGTGGGGCAATTATTAAAGCTTGGAGAGAGCTTTTGTAATATATAATCCCAAAGTTTATGCCATAATCATTGTACCTATATATGCGCACACAGGTATGTGTGAGAGAAAATGAATGTAAGGATTGAGAAGAAAGAAACAGGCAAATGATAGGCACAGAAGGACAAAGGATGGAGCTCACTATGGTTTGTGTGTGTGTGTGTGTCTGTGTGTGTGTGTGTCTCATTAAAAAAAGCTGAGACATGTGGGAGCAAAAGAGCTGCCAAAGGTATTCTATCTGCTGGCATATTCAGCAACATGAAAGAAAGAGAGAGAGAGAGAGAGAGAGAGAAACACATTGAGACTATCTATCTATCTATCTATCTATCTATCTATCTATCTATCTATCTATCTACCAGCTTTGAACATCTGGTCTGGTCCATCCAGGAGATGACCAGCAGGAGCAGAAGTTCACAATGACAGGGCATCATCAAGTAGCCAAAAGCCACTGTGGATCCAGTTTGCATTCAAGCGGTGCAGCCTGGCTCTCAGAAGGCAATCCCATGCAAAAAAAAAGCCAGCAAACCCACTCTCTCATGTCAAAATACTGATGATATTAACTAGTTTGGTCATGAAATATTTGCAGGAAGCAAACCAAGCTCAGCAAACACCAAGAACCCAACAGAGATATGACATTGTTGTCCGTGGCATATCAAAATCAAGTAATGTAATTGGTGGAAAGTATTAATGATTTATATATTTAATTCATATATAAGAAATGGACCTCAAAAAATTAGCTTTTAGGGTTTACACATACGTAGGCATCACATACACTTCTTTAGATAGGAATGAGGAGGCAGGGATGGTAGACTTGACATTTGGAGAGAAGAGGTAATGATACTGTAGATCACCTTTCACAATCTGGTGTTCTCTATATATCTTGGACTTCAGCCCTTATGTTGCCCAGGTATCATGGTGTACAGTGTTTGGAGATTATGGGAACTGAAGATCAGTAAGTTTGAAAGATTCTATGCTTTGGAAGACAATAGTAGGCTGCAATTCTGGTTCAATATGGGCTGTTTCATGTTATGTGCTGTATTGTCTAGCCATATCGGGGCATATTTGGAGAAACCAGACTCTGGTAAAGATGGCCTAGATAACATTTCACTTAACTTGTAATATGAACATTCTCCAGTTGGGGGTAAAGGTGATTTGACCAAGGGAATGTGATCCAGTACTTTGGGAGAAAATGTTGTTGTGAAAGGACCCATTCTCCCATTTTGTTTATACAAATCATTTCATAATTTCATGGATCCTTCAGCACTTTCACCTGGGAGTAAGTTAGGTGGGTTTCTGTTTAAATATGCATAGAATTGAATAATTCATCTGATTCCCCTTCCTCTCTCAATCCTCCCTCCTCTCTACATAGGACATTTTTTAAACCTTTGGCTCTGATTTTCAGTAAAGCATAAGTTTGTACTGTTTTGCAAAATGTTTATTTTGATATATGCACACACACACACATGAAATGCTGTTGCCTCTTCCCACAGTCTCTGAGCTAGGATAGTATGTAGTTCCCCTAACTACTGTGTCATTATATAACATACCTGATTCTATTTTTTTCCTCAGCAGGCTCATCTTTTAAAACTTGGGGGGGGGGTGTTTCTTTTTTAAACTTTACTTTGTACATTAGACCTTATAAACCACCCACAGGCATTGGCAAGTAGGCAACCTTAGCAATTGATTAAATAAAAGTAACTAATATGGTAAAGAAATGATATTCCTCCCAATAATTTAGGTTTAAAATTAGAGTTGCATGGAATGATAAATGTATTGTGATTTTATATATATAATGTCAAGAAACTTTCTTGCTACCAATACCAATATTATAACTACACTTCTTAAATTTAAAAAATGCTGCTAATGGTGACTTCCAATAAATGGGAATGGTGGCCAATCTGATACTCCCTCAAAACTATTGTGCTTCATCATCCATAGCCAAAAGTAAAATGGCTGGAAAAGTCTCATTAATCTAGGATGCCTCTAAATTAGAAGGTCTATATCAGGACATATAACCTAAAGTCTCCTGTTTTCAAACCAATATATTATGAGCATTATTATTTACATACTTACTTCTGGAATTATAACTAGTCCAAATATTAAGCCAAACAGAACCAGGTTTAGGCCATACATCCATCGCAGAAATATGAAATAAGAGGCCACTGAAGAACCAAAATGACCTTAAATAATAAAAAAGCTTCCATTAGAAAAATGCTTAACTGAAACTGAATTGTCCAGATAACAGAATGGATTTGTGATGAGCTATCAATCTAAATCTAACTGAGTGTCTAGTCTGAGGCATTCAGTTTTTCTTTCTTCCAAAATTCTTTTAGAAGAGGAGGAAGAAGTGAATGCCTGAAATTGCAGCTGGTCCAATCACATTTATAATTTCCTCCAAGCCAGCTTCAATTTTCTCACTGCCCAAAACAGTGCTTGTCATCTTCTATAATGGCCCCCTTCATCCTATCCCAAATATCTAGGATGTTCAGTTGAGGGTAAGACTATGTCAGTTGTTTGAGGTAGGCCAGCTCAGGAAACAGATTCTGCAAGACTATTGGAACTCTATTTTATCATTGTAGGGCATCAAAGCACTATCGTGAAATCATATCAGAATTTCCCTCTGTCCCCTCTTGTCCCATGCAGAATCAAGGCAGGGTTATTTTGAGTTTCTTTCTCACAGTCCCACCTTTTCCAGGACTGAGATGTCATTTACTATGTCTTTTATCCCCTAACAGTTCTTGCATTCTTTCACCCACATTATCTGTGCCTTCCTCCACAGATGAGTTCCAAAAAGATTTCCATTGTGTTTTTTTAAAAATGGTTTCTAAGATTGGCATGCTAAGCAGATTCCAAGAAATTGGTGTGCAGAAATGTAATTTTCATTCCTTACTGGAAGATTTTAATTCCCTTCCCCATCGCTATCCCCAAATACATCTGTTTTCTTGCACTGCATTTTAGTAAGGCTGAGGAATCCTTCAAAAGAGATACTCTGGAATATGTAGGAGCATGTATGAATGAATGGAATCAGCAGACATTTGCAGATGTAAAAGCATCAGAGAGCAACTTGAGAAGGGTTTTGGTTATCCCCAAAGAACAAAGAAAAACTAAAATGACTTAAAAAAATTAAATGCTATGTCTTACAGGTTTACAAAGGTCCTACAATTGCCCCCAATTGTATGGATAGGCAAGGAAATGAGTACTGTACTTGCCTACATCAGTCTATCCACTCTATACATCTAATGAAGTGAGCAGCACCTTATGATAGCTTATACCTTTTAATGAAATGTACTGGTTGGAAAAGGTGATTTTTAAAGTTGAGGAAATTCTGCAGATACTGTAGTGAAATGACAACACAGTCATAGTGAGAAAACAGGCTATTTGTATGAATGTAGCCATAATTTTGCAGCTCAGTTTCCAAGTGAATATTAGCATTTCCTTTTCACATAGTGTGAGAGGTCAAGGCTGAAAATGATGATATTGATGATATTGATGCCTTAAAGATGGTGATGGTTATCTTCAGTTTAATGAAGTGTTTTACTGGTATACTGATTTGAGAATAATAGTTGAAAACCAGTTTATACATTAATGAAAAAGCACTGTTTTTGTGTTGTGACATTCAGAATAATATTTAGACATGTAGATTAAGTAGACAAATGTTAACTTACTTTCAACTTCTTTTATCTTCATTTCCCAAGGTATACATTGTGTCTTAAAATTGTCAAAATCTCTCTTGAACTTGACCCATTTCTGAAAATAAACGTAGGAAAAGGTGCTGTTGTTCTAGGCTACGGCAAATAAAGAAAGGCCTGGGAAATACTTTATGGTTTAAATGCTAGTGTCTTGAAAACTGAAGATGAGCTGGCCTAAATCTGATGCATTTCAGTTAAACGCCACACGGTCCTCCTGATTGGTGAGTGGGAGGAAAGGGTTTCTGTCTGTCTTTCCAACAATACAATTTAAAAATGAACTTGACAGGAATGATAATTCAGCAGTTATGCAAGATTTTGTTATTTTTCTGTTCCCGGGGAGGGGAGAGATTTTTTGAGGATTCTATATCTCAGGTGGAAAAAAATGTAGCAAACCTTTGTTAATTGGCCTCTTGTCTTGTGAAAGCAGAAAAACACCATTTGCTCTGCTGTTCTAGGCAGCAAACCTTGAGTCACCCTTGTTCAGACTGAGAAGAGGCTAAATACTACAAAGGAATCCTCATCCATACTGATCTCTGCAAATAATATTTCAAATTGTTACCTTCTCCTTCAACTTCTGAGAACTCAAGAGAGTCCATAGCTTGACGGTCTGTCAGAGCTTAAGTGTGTAAAATAATTTAAGACATCCAAGGTTCCAATATTCAAAGGTGGGATCTACTCCCTGACTTGGTAAAATGTTCTGTGCATTATAAGTAATATTTAGTAGTAGTAATAATAATAGTAATATTAATAATAATACTTTAGCAGTGAATACATCAGAAGACTGAAGAAGAACTTAAGGTCCAAAGTCAGTGGCGGAAATACCATTAAGGTGATTAACACCTGGGCAATTCCAGTCATTAGATACACAGCTGGAATAGTGGACTGGACTCAAACTGAACTAGAAGCCCTGGATAGGAAGACCATAAAAATAATGACATTGAATCATGCCCTTCAACCACCCAGAGACGTTGACAGACTCTACTTACCAAGGAACATAGGTGGATGTGGAATGTTGCAAGTAAACCAGACAGTTGAAGAAGAAAAAAGGGCATTGCAAGAATACCTGAAGGACAGTGAAGAAGATGCAAGCTAGTAAAGGCTTACTGAATACCCAAGAGACCAAGCTGGCCTATAAGAAAGACCAAATGAAGAATAGAAAAGAGACATGGCAAGGCAAAGTATTACATGGCCAGTACATAAAAAAGAAAGCTAGCAGGCAAAGCAGATAACAACAAGACCTGGCAATGGCTAAGAGCAGGAAAGTTGAAGAGAGATAGAGGGGCTAATTCTGGTTGCACAAGACCAAGCCTTAAGAACAAATGCATACAAAACCAGAATCAAGAAGACAGTAACAGACAGCAAATACCGTCTCTGCCAAGAAGCTGAAGAACCAGTGGATCACTTAATCAAAGTAGCAACAGTGTTGCATTGGAATAACTGCAAGGAATACCATTTGCCTGCAAGCAAGAACTGGTGGGACCACAAAACAGACAAAGTAATAGAAAATGGAGAGGCTAAAGTGCTCTGGGACTTTAGAATTCCAACAGACAAACATCTGCCACACAACACCCCAGACTTAACAATTGTTGGTAAGAAAGACAAAAAAATCTGGATAGTAGACATTGCAATACCTGGAGACAGTGGAATAGAAGAGAAAGAACTGGAGAAAATCACAAAATATAAAGACCTGCAAGTAGAAGTAGAACAACTGTGGCAAAAGAAAGCAAAGATAGTATCAATAGTGATAGGTGCCTTAGGTGCAATTCCAAAACATCTTGAGCACCATTTGAACACCACCGTCATTGATAAAATCACCATCAGTCAATTGCAAAAGGCAGCTTTACTTGGAACAGCTTACATCCTGCAATGATATCTTTAA